CTTCTGATCCACACATAAGTTAATGAGTGTTTATAATTTAATTCTTCTGATGCCACACATAAGTTAATGAGTGTTTATAATTTAATTCTTCTGATCCACACATAAGTTAATGAGTTGTTTTTATAATAAGTAATTCTTCTGATCCACACATAAGTTAATGAGTGTTGTTATAATTTATTCTTCTGATCCACACATAAGTTAATGAGTGTTTTATAATTTAATTCTTCTGATCCACACATAAGTTAATGAGTGTATATAGTTTAACAGCCATTAAACTATTTATTCTTCTGATCCACACATAAGTTAATGAGTGTTTATAATTTAATTCTTCTGATCCACACATAAGTTAATGAGTGTATATAGTTTAACAGTCATTAAACTATTTATTCTTCTGATCCACACATAAGTTAATGAGTGTATATAGTTTAACAGCCATCAAACTATTTATTCTTCTGATCCACACATAAGTTAATGAGTGTATATAGTTTAACAGTCATTAAACTATTTATTCTTCTGATCCACACATAAGTTAATGAGTGTTTATAATTTAATTCTTCTGATCCACACATAAGTTAATGAGTGTATATAGTTAAACAGCCATCAAACTATTTGTTCTTCTGATCCACACATAAGTTAATGAGTGTATATAGTTTAACAGCCATTAAACTATTTATTCTTCTGATCCACACATAAGTTAATGAGTGTATATAGTTTAACAGCCATTAAACTATTTATTCTTCTGATCCACACATAAGTTAATGAGTGTTTATAATTTAATTCTTCTGATCCACACATAAGTTAATGAGTGTATATAGTTTAACAGCCATTAAACTATTTGTTCTTCTGATCCACACATAAGTTAATGAGTGTTTATAATTTAATTCTTCTGATCCACACATAAGTTAATGAGTGTATATAGTTTAACAGCCATTAAACTATTTGTTCTTCTGATCCACACATAAGTTAATGAGTGTATATAGTTTAACAGCCATTAAACTATTTATTCTTCTGATCCACACATAAGTTAATGAGTGTTTATAATTTAATTCTTCTGATCCACACATAAGTTAATGAGTGTATATAGTTTAACAGCCATTAAACTATTGTGTTCTTCTTCTGATCCACACATAAGTTAATGAGTGTATATAGTTTAACAGCCATTAAAACTATTTATTCTTCTGATCCACACATAAGTTAATGAGTGTTTATAATTTAATTCTTCTGATCCACACATAAGTTAATGAGTGTTTATAATTTAATTCTTCTGATCCACACATAAGTTAATGAGTGTATATAGTTTAACAGCCATTAAACTATTTATTCTTCTGATCCACACATAAGTTAATGAGTGTTTATAATTTAATTCTTCTGATCCACACATAAGTTAATGAGTGTATATAGTTTAACAGCCATTAAACTATTTGTTCTTCTGATCCACACATAAGTTAATGAGTGTTTATAATTTAATTCTTCTGATCCACACATAAGTTAATGAGTGTATATAGTTTAACAGCCATTAAACTATTTGTTCTTCTGATCCACACATAAGTTAATGAGTGTATATAGTTTAACAGCCATTAAACTATTTATTCTTCTGATCCACACATAAGTTAATGAGTGTTTATAATTTAATTCTTCTGATCCACACATAAGTTAATGAGTGTATATAGTTTAACAGCCATTAAACTATTTATTCTTCTGATCCACACATAAGTTAATGAGTGTTTATAATTTAATTCTTCTGATCCACACATAAGTTAATGAGTGTTTATAATTTAATTCTTCTGATCCACACATAAGTTAATGAGTGTATATAGTTTAACAGCCATTAAACTATTTATTTTTCTGATCCACACATAAGTTAATGAGTGTTTATAATTTAATTCTTCTGATCCACACATAAGTTAATGAGTGTATATAGTTTAACAGCCATTAAACTATTTATTCTTCTGATCCACACATAAGTTAATGAGTGTATATAGTTTAACAGCCATTAAACTATTTATTCTTCTGATCCACACATAAGTTAATGAGTGTATATAGTTTAACAGCCATTAAACTATTTATTCTTCTGATCCACACATAAGTTAATGAGTGTTTATAATTTAATTCTTCTGATCCACACATAAGTTAATGAGTGTTTATAATTTAATTCTTCTGATCCACACATAAGTTAATGAGTGTTTATAATTTAATTCTTCTGATCCACACATAAGTTAATGAGTGTATATAGTTTAACAGCCATTAAACTATTTGTTCTTCTGATCCACACATAAGTTAATGAGTGTATATAGTTTAACAGCCATTAAACTATTTATTCTTCTGATCCACACATAAGTTAATGAGTGTTTATAATTTAATTCTTCTGATCCACACATAAGTTAATGAGTGTATATAGTTTAACAGCCATTAAACTATTTGTTCTTCTGATCCACACATAAGTTAATGAGTGTATATAGTTTAACAGCCATTAAACTATTTATTCTTCTGATCCACACATAAGTTAATGAGTGTTTATAATTTAATTCTTCTGATCCACACATAAGTTAATGAGTGTTTATAATTTAATTCTTCTGATCCACACATAAGTTAATGAGTGTATATAGTTTAACAGCCATTAAACTATTTATTCTTCTGATCCACACATAAGTTAATGAGTGTTTATAATTTAATTCTTCTGATCCACACATAAGTTAATGAGTGTATATAGTTTAACAGCCATTAAACTATTTGTTCTTCTGATCCACACATAAGTTAATGAGTGTTTATAATTTAATTCTTCTGATCCACACATAAGTTAATGAGTGTATATAGTTTAACAGCCATTAAACTATTTGTTCTTCTGATCCACACATAAGTTAATGAGTGTATATAGTTTAACAGCCATTAAACTATTTATTCTTCTGATCCACACATAAGTTAATGAGTGTTTATAATTTAATTCTTCTGATCCACACATAAGTTAATGAGTGTATATAGTTTAACAGCCATTAAACTATTTATTCTTCTGATCCACACATAAGTTAATGAGTGTTTATAATTTAATTCTTCTGATCCACACATAAGTTAATGAGTGTTTATAATTTAATTCTTCTGATCCACACATAAGTTAATGAGTGTATATAGTTTAACAGCCATTAAACTATTTATTTTTCTGATCCACACATAAGTTAATGAGTGTTTATAATTTAATTCTTCTGATCCACACATAAGTTAATGAGTGTATATAGTTTAACAGCCATTAAACTATTTATTCTTCTGATCCACACATAAGTTAATGAGTGTATATAGTTTAACAGCCATTAAACTATTTATTCTTCTGATCCACACATAAGTTAATGAGTGTATATAGTTTAACAGTCATCAAACTATTTATTTTTCTGATCCACACATAAGTTAATGAGTGTTTATAGTTTAACAGTCATCAAACTATTTATTTTTCTGATCCACACATAAGTTAATGAGTGTATATAGTTTAACAGTCATCAAACTATTTATTTTTCTGATCCACACATAAGTTAATGAGTGTATATAGTTTAACAGTCATCAAACTATTTATTTTTCTGATCCACACATTGAGTTGATTTGATTTGATTCAAGAATCAACATCACAGCATTTGGGGCATTCCCATAAGCCCTCCGTCTCCATTTTCAGCAGCCAGCGCAAAGTTCCGATACTATTAGTGCCAGTAGCATTCTGATTAAATGTTCATCTTACCTTTTCTTTGAGCCTCGAGCATCTGCCAGAACCCCTCGTCACACCCCAATACATCAATCTCACCAGACTATGGTGATCCATCTTCGAACTGTAATGCTCTCCCACAAGTCACTGGCCTTGTCATGCATCAATATTCCACCAAGTTGTGCAGAGCCAGCAAGTCTGTCCACCTGTTCATTTCCCAACACAAGGGCATCTCCTGGAGGAAAAATCCAGACAATACTCCTCACCCATGTCCTCTGCAGTGAAGCATGCCACTCTGCATGAAGCATGCCTGTCCTGACCTTCCTCAGTATGCTTTCTTAGTCAGTTACAATCACAATGTGTGTGTGTGTTGTGTTCTCTAACCAGCGGCAAGTTGTATTTTCACATAAGTACAAATGATCCACACATAAGTATTTACTTTTTTTTTGGTTTTGTTTAGCTATAAATATTCTACAACTCATGCTGGGGAGCTATATTTTGAGTTTCACAAACTTCCTAGTGCTATGAAAGAATTTCTTGTTTTGTATACTTCTTATTTTAATATCTCTTATCTCTTTGTCTAAAATGCTGCTAGAATATATGACACTGGGCCAATATTTTATGTAACCAAAAGACACACAAGAGGTGATATGGTTATTTAAGCAAGCTGCCTTTAATTTTTCCAGAGAAACACTGGTACCTAGTTTGTCCTCACAGTCAAGATGGCTGCCACAACTGACTTTTGAACCTGGATAAGTGTGTAAGTAAGAGTGTTAACTGACCATAAACCACACAACTCTACAAAGATATGCTCTTTTTAGTTAAGTGCATATGTAATTTACTTACATATTATCTTTTCATACAAATC